GTGTGGAGAACCCCATCTTGCACATATTGGTCAAGAGGGATGTGTGTTGAAAATGTTGGGTACTGGCTGGGCACTTTTTCATGATTCTGTGGGCTGGCTAGGAGTTCCTTTGCTGTTTTCACCTAGGTTCACTCATGTCGCTGCACTCAAACAGCAGGTCAGCTGAGCAGGAAAATGGAAAATGGCCTCACCAGCATGTCTGGCTGTTGGCTGGCGCTCCTCTGTGTGGCCTCTTCCTTACATGGTGGTCTCAGGGAGTGTTCCAAGGGGACAAAGGCAGAAGCTACAAGGCCTCTGACAGACTAGGTTCCAGAACTCACACATCGCTTCTGCCACACCTATTGGTCAAAGCTAGTTACAAGACCAGCCCAGATTCAAGCGATAGAGAAAGAGACCCCAATTCTTGATGTGAGAAGTACCAAAGTCACACTGCAAAGGAGTTTGGGGCCACCATTAGTCTACCACCACATTAAAAGTTGTTGTTGTTTTTTTTTTTTTTGAGACAGAGTCTTGCCCTGTTGCCCAGGCTGGAGTACACTGGTGCAATCTTGGCTCACTGCAACCTCCACCTCCTGGGTTCAAGAGATTCTCCTGCCTCAGCCTCCCAAGTAACTGGGACTACAGGTGCATGCCATCATGCCCGGGTAATTTTTTGGATTTTTAGTAAAGACTGGGTTTCACCATGTTGCTCAAGCTGGTCACAAACTCCTAAACTCAGGCAATCCGCTAGTCTCGGCCTCCCAAAGTGCTGGGATTACAGGTGTGAGTCACTGCATTCAGCCCATCATATATTTATTAACCATAGATACCTACCAGTCCCCCCTCCCCCCACCTTTTTTTTTTTTTTTTTTTGGGGACCAAGTCTCACTCTGTTGCCCAGACTGGAGTGCAGTGGCGTGATCTCCGCTCACTGCAACCTCCACCTGCCGGGTTCAAGCAATTCTCATGCCTCAGCCTCCCGAATAGCTGGGACTACAGGTGTGAGCCACCACGCCTGTCTAATTTTTGTATTTTTAGTAGAGACGGGGTTTCACCATGTTGGCCAGGCTGGTCTTGAACTCCTGACCTCAAGTAATCCACCCGCCTTGGCCTCCCAAAATACCGGGATTACAGGCAAGAGCCACCATGCCCGGCCCTACCAGTTCCTTTTTAAGACCAAAAAGTTTTGAATTGTGACAGCATCACTGTAATAAGTAGACAGCTTCTCCCATGATTACAGACAATACCATTCAAAAGTTCTGAAATGTTTGCTTAAAAACAATGGTATACCTCCTCAAAAGAGATTACCCTGTAGGTTTTAACAATGAAGGTTAAAAAACCAGCTCTGCATTGCCTGTGATAGCTGGTAAATGCCATGCGTGTGGAGAACCCCATCTTGCACATATTGGTCAAGAGGGATGTGTGTTGAAAATGTTGGGTACTGAGAAATTAAGGTGAATTCAGTATAGGCTGGGGGCACAGGATAAGAATAGTAGCTAATATAGTACTTACCTGGTGTTTTACTGTGTACTAGACACTGTTTGAAGCACCTTACACATATAACCTCGTTCAGTCCTCATTATCCACATTTTTTGTAGGAAACCAAGGCCCACATAAATTAAGTAACTTGCTCAAAGTGTCACAACTAGTAAGAGGTGGAAGCTAGGATCTGAACTCAAGCCAGCTGGCTCTAGACTGTGTTATTACCCTCCACAACAGAACCTGGGCTGCAGGTCCAGGAGAGGAGGGTGAGAAGGCAGCTGTGTGTGGGTGTGGCACCATGAGGGGAATGTGGGTTGTGAGTACCATGTCCTGTTTACCAGTGGGAGAAGTCAGACCCCTGAGTCAGAACTTATGCTGGGGAGCTTTACTGGGGCCATCACGATGTGTGGGTGTCCAGGCCTCCGGAAGGAAAGGATTCCCAGCATTCCTAAAGCCATGGTCCTGGAATCTAGGCCCCTCCTTAGGCTGAGATACCAGCTGAGAGTTAAGCAGTTTGGGGAGAATGAAGTTTAGGAAGCCAGCCTTACAAGCAACACCGAGAGGTCATCTATAATGAGAATTGAGGGCAAAATCGAGTCAAAGGACCCGGGACCAAAGGTTGGGCAGAATGGGCAGTGTTTGGAAACGGGATTGTGAAACTCTCTGCCAGCAACTGAATAGGCCGAGGGGGCTTTAGAGACCTGTGCCAATGATTGACGGCTGAGGCGCAGGGAGGGACCCGGGGATTTGCACATGGTAGAATTAAGGAGCGCTGGCGTTGCGTTGGGGGAAGAAGGAAAGCCCCACCCCGCTCCCCGGCAGTGGGGAGGAAGGGAGGAATGGGTGCCTCGGCCCCCAGGGCTCCGGTCCTGGCACAGCCTGGGCCGCCTCCCCGACTCCATCATCGCTGTCATGCCCGGCCTCAAGCCTCCACCGCCCCCACACGTGCCGCCACGGGGAGCGGCCCGATCAAGGCGTGACGCTTCGAAGGGTGGGGCCTCACTTATTCCCCTATTTAAAGGGGAAAGAGGCCGCGGCGCCGGCCCCAGGACCCGACCCGGGCCTCAGAAGAGTCAGTTCGTTCTGTTCACCGAGCCGGCCGCGTTAGCGACGCCCTCGAGTTCGCGGCGGGCACGATGCAGCTCTTGGTGAGGGTGCCCTCTCTTCCGGAGCGGGGCGAGCTGGACTGCAACATCTGCTACCGTCCTTTCAACCTCGGGGGCCGCGCGCCCCGCCGCCTGCCCGGGACGGCGCGCGCCCGCTGCGGCCACACGCTCTGCACCGCCTGCCTCCGCGAGCTGGCAGCGCGCGGGGACGGCAGCGGAACGGCCGCGCGCGTGGTGCGCCTGCGCCGCATGGTCACGTGCCCCTTCTGCCGCGCGCCCTCGCCGCTCCCGCGCGGCGGCGTCACGGAGATCGCTCTTGACTCGGACTTGTGGTCGCGATTGGAGGAAAAAGCGCGGGCCAAGTGCGAACGAGATGAGGCGGGGAACCCGGCCAAAGAAAGCAGCCACGCTGACGGAGAGGCCGAGGAGGAAGGGGAGAGCGAGAAGGGGGCGGGGCCTAGGAGCGCTGGGTGGCGCGCGCTCCGGCGGCTCTGGGACAGGGTCCTGGCGCCCGCGCGGCGCTGGCGGCGTCCGCTGCCTAGCAACGGTGAGGGGCTGCCAGGGGAGGATGCAGGGGAGAGAGCGCCGAGGAACACGGAGGTTGGTTGGCTTGCTCCTGCTGCCGCTAACCCTTCTTCTTTCCCCCAGTGCTCTACTGTCCGGAGATCAAGGACATTGCCCACCTGACCCGTTGAACGTTGTAACCGAGGAACTGGGAAGCCACAGCCGAAGGAAGGTGGGAGCTGCAGCCTCGCGGGGGCTGATATCGAGACTACTGTGTCTCAGATCCCAGGATTGACATGTGATAAGAGAGATGAGCCGAGGGCAGGAGGGAACGCCCTGGGAGGTGTTGATGATGAGTTGGGGAGGCTCCTAGACGAACTCGCCCCCATCTACTGACTGTGCCAGTCTTACATTTTCAGGATGGAGTGGCCAAGGGATGATATAAACAAAGCCTACGTTACTGTGGGAAGAAGACAGACTGTTTTCTTAGCTGGGACTTTGGCTTTTGTCCAGGGTGGCTCTGGTGTGTGGGAGCAACAGGTCCCGTTTTAGCAATTCTTTGTCAATGGTTTGAATTTTTTTTTTTTTTAAGATGGGATGGGAGAGAAGAGGCTAATTTTCGCGTCATGTTAATCTCACTTCTCTGGCATGTAAGGGTGCTGGTATGCCTGCTGTCTCTCCACTCCCAGTTCTGTGTTCCAAAAATTGAGATGGCTCCCTGCCTATGACTATGATGAGGAGCCTTGCTTCATTTCAGAATCTACCTTCAGCCTGCTAGGGCAGGTATCAGAAATTCCAAAGGGCATTGATATGAGGCACCTAATTAGAGCCTATCAAAGTAGGAAAGGAGAGCCATTTGAAAGGCATCATATTTCAAACTTTTGCTATTATCTGTGTTATCTTTACAGTCACAGGGAACACTGGCGCTACTGAAAAGATACTTATACAATTTTAAGTGTCTTTAAAATTTGTGTCCCATAATGGGACATCACCTATTGTATATATGCCATGTATTCTATTTTAGAATCCTGTAAGTATCTTATGACCATATAGTCATAGTCAAGGACCAGCAGCGTTGGTATACTGTCGATGGAAGCGCACAATCTCACTCCAGGATCCCACTCCAGACTTCCTGAATCAGACTCTGCAGGGTTGTTTTTTTTGTTTTTGTTTTTGAGACAGTCTCACTCTGTCGCCCAGGCTGGAGTGCAGTGGCGCAATCTCACCTTACTGCAGCCTCTACCTCCCAGATTCAAGCGATTCTCCTGCCTCACCCGCCGGAGTAGCTGGGATTACAGGCGCCTGCCACCACACCTGGCTAATTTTTGTAGTTTTAGTAGAGATGGGGTTTTGCCGTGTTGGTCAGGCTGGTCTCAAACTCCTGACCTCAGGTGATGCGCCCACCTCGGCCTCCCAAAGTGCTGGGATTATAGGAGTGAGTCACCGCGCCTGGCCAGACTCTGGCATTTTAACAATCCCAGGTGATTTGTGTGCATGTGAAAATGTAAGTATCATTGGTCTAGATCCTAGACTCTTTAAGATATCACCATCTGTAGGTAGAATATTTAAAACATAATAAGTATGACTGATAGATTATTTTATCCAAAGTTCTAAAGTAACATTCTATTGCTAAAGAAATCCTAACCTACTATGTTACATTTTTCTCTTAAAAATGTGAACTTATTAAGTATTAACCTCAATTTTTAGGGGTCTCCAACCTTTTAAAAATATTTTTGATTGACAAATCATATACACTTATGGTTTATAAACCTCAATTTTTGTAACCCTATTTTGGCATTTTCCTGTCCTTACGTCTCAGCTTAAATGCTCCCTCTTCTGGGAGGCCGCCTTCTGCCTTCAGCATAGTAGAGCCTTTTCCCCACCCCTCTGTAACATAATGCCCTGTTTTATTTTTACCGCTTTTATTTTCATGCTTTGTGGGTGTTCTCACTGGAGTGTAAGCCCCATGGTGGCAAGGGCTGACCTGTGACTGTTTTATCTCCAGGGCCAACAGCAGTGTTACTGTATAATATGTACTCAATAAATACTTGTTGGCTTTATATCTTATTTTTTTAATATAATAGTCTTGTGAACTAAATGTCTGGCCTCTCTCAATCTCTGAGAATCTCTGTTTAGTGAGCAATAAACATCAAGGAAGTGCCTAGCAGTTCAAATCTTTGGTAAGCTAGACAGATCTGACCCTCAACTCCTTAAAAAAAAAAAGTGTGCCTTTGCTTCATACTGGAACTGAACCTGTGGAGCTGTAGTGACCTCTACTGACTCTTAGGGGAACTAAAGTGCAACTTGAAGGTGGAAAGGATGATCAAAAGGATGGCTGGAAGGCAGTTTTGAATCTTGCTAGGCACTCCTCCCACTACATTTCTGTCCAGTAAGTCCCACTCTCTCTGAAGTCAACCTGAGGCCATGTAGTATCTGCTGCTCACCCTCCTTCTCTACACTGAGCCCATCACATAGTTGGAGCTGGAAGAACCTCAGTTTTAGTGAATAATCCAAGAGATAAAAATGAGGAAAAGGAAAAAGTCGTAAGATTTTTTTAAAAAGAAAAGGCAGAAAGCAACAACTTTTCTTATCCCTTCCCCCAAAACTCCCCCCCCATAAAAAATAACAGAGCACACAGAAAGGAAAGTATAATTTATATGTACAACCAATAAACCTGATACAGAAGAGGGGATCAGGACAGACCAGGAGTGGGTGTGAAGAGAGACCGGGAAAGGGGCAGCAAGAAAGTGAAGGGGCAGCAAAGAGGAAGTGGGGGGTTCGCCATGCAAACTGCCACTCTCCCCGGCCCCTCCTGGGAGGGGGGATGTGCCCACATTTCCCTTGCCTGCCCTCCACTACTTTGCTCTGGTCCCAGTGACAAGGTAGCTCCCAAGACCCTGACTAGGTCCCCTGCCTGACTTAACGCAAATTTAGTCTGTATCTAGGCCTTGAGGAGGGAGGGTAGTAGAAGTCTTCAGGAACCTAAGCCCCAGAGCTGGGGGCTTCCCCGCCACCGCCGTCTGGCCCATTGTATTCTCTCCCACCCTTCTAGGTGACCTGGGTCCCTAGAACAGGTTGGGGAGCTCCTCTTTGGCTTGAGGGAGTATCACCCAACCATTACTCTTTGTAGGGGTGGTCCTTGGTCCCTAGGGAGGGGGGAACATTCCCAACACAAGATGCCGGTACACAGGAGGTAACTGAGCCAGTGAACGGCGCCTTTATTCTGAGGCTGAACAGCAATTGACTTCCTCCCTCATAACTGCTCCACCCTCCATGTGGGGAGAGGTAGGGAACGGTAACATGCAGCCACCCCTCCTCGTCCCTTCCTCCCTCCCAGGACTCATTTTCATCCCTCTCTAAAAGTCCCCCTCCTCTCTTCAAAGCTCTCTTCCCCGCAAAAGTTCCTAAAGGCCAGGCAAGGCTAATTCTCCACTTCTGCATGAGATGGAGCTGATTCTGCAGGGAAACAGCTGGGGAGGCTCCACCTCTTGCCTCCCCACAACCATTTACTGGGAAGTTGTGTATACTTGGCGGTGGGGGAGGAAGGTACTTGGAAGACCCTGCCAGCCGTCTCCCACCCAGACCTCTTCTCACCAGCACAGTCTTCAAGGCTTGGTGGGAAAGGCGCGTGGGAGTGGAGAAAGACAAAGGGCCCTTCTTGAAGAGAGGAGCTGCAGAGAGGGGCAAAGGGGTTCCTAGCCCAGTGATGGCCCAAGGGGTGGGGAAGGTGGAGGGCTGGCAGCAGGCCCCAGCGCTTGAGCTGGGGGTCGGCCTCGGGGACGGGGCCTGGGTGAAGGGCAGGCCTGGGATCCAGTCAGTCGTCTATACAGATCACCTCCCCGGCTCGGGGCTCCTTCCGATCCAGCCCGTCTGACACCAACGCCCCCACCATTTCCTTCTCCTTCTTCACCAGCACTGGAGGGCCGTTGGTGGCGGCTGTTTGGGAAAGTGGTAAGGAAAGATCAATTCCCACATCACTCCCAAACATCACTTCATGACAGTGGTGAATTCTCACTTCTAGGCCACCTCCTGCCACTTCCAGTTGCCCCAGGTAAGGGTGGGAAGACAAGGGCAAACCCCTTTCCCTGAGATTCCACTTTGTGTTACATGACTGAACACATGTTCCCACTCTATACCCCTCGGGTTTCATGTTCACTTTCCCTTGAAGGAACCTGGAGGGAGGTGGCTTGGGTAGAAGACACCAAGTCACAGATCTACTAAAACTCTGGTTTTTGATAAAGGAGATCAAAGAGGGGTTAAGAAAGGGATGGGGGGGACAGCCTAGAACAACTCTATCCCATAAAACACCAGATACCACCAAGGAAATGAGATGGACTAGAGCAGTTAAAGGGCAGCTGAGCAGAAATAAAGTTTGGCAAAGGAGGAGTGTGAGTAGCAGGGGGTAGGAAAACACCAGCTGACCTGTGATGAAGGACCCTGCAGGCATCTGGCTGTAATTGGCGCCTGCGGCGGCCAGGGCCCCTACGGGTGCGGCGCTGAAGGCCGCCCCGTACCCCGGAGGTGTAGCGTAGGGACCCGGGGGGAAGGCCTGGAACAGAGAGTAAGCAGAAGTTGGAGTTAGTTCATAGTCTGGGAGAGGAAAGAAGCTGTAGGGGAGACATTAGGAGCCACACTCCACAGCTACTGAGGGTAGGATACACAGGCAGGCAGACTCACTCAAGGGTGACGACTGTGTTCTAGCAAGATGTTTTTCCATATTGTATAGGATTCTGATGGAAGTGTTTGTATGTGTGCAGGAGGAACCCAAACAGGGAAAACTGGAGCTAGGGGGAAAGAGGGTTACCGGTGTGGGGTGAGGCTCCGTGCCCTTGCTGGCCAGCCGGCTGAGGATGCTGCGCTCGGACATCTGAAGGCGGGCTGCGATGGGGGGTATTCGGGATAGCGTGGCTGGCAGGCGGGTCACGTCCGCCTTCATGTCGCTCAGCAACTCCTCCAGCTGGTTCAGAACTGGGGCCCGGGCCACAGAGAAAGAAGGGCAAGAGAAAGACAGGGAAATAGAGAGATGGAGCCAGGAAAAGAGAGGCATCAGACGGACAGATACAGGCAGAAAAAGAGAGAGAGAGGAGGACACAGATGTCAAAGAACCAGAGATCAAGAAAGTAAAAGTGGACAAAAAACAGGAGCAACTCAGGGGAAAAGAAAAAGTGTTAGGAAAAGAGAGAGAACAGATCACCACAGAAGACAGATGGAGAGAAAGAAGAAAGAAAAAGGGAGCATGGAGGAAAGGAAGATGGGGGGACATCGGAAGACATGGGGGCGGGGAGTTGTCAGAACATCTCATACTGGAAGAGCAAGGTTTGGGGTTGGGGATGATGGGGAGGAAATAGTCAGGAGGCATGGGAGGTGGTAAGTGTCAAAGCTTTAAGGAATCAAGATTTTAATATGTAAGGGGAGAGGGAGGTTAGAAGGTCAGTATTACAGATTCAAGGAATTAGAACAGGGATCAAAGGGGCCAGGAGTCAGTGACTACATCAGGCAGGATTAGATGGTTAGAGGGCTTTGGATATAATCTCTATCATTGGCAAGGTAAGAGGCGGTAGGAGGAAAGGTCGAAGGTCAAAGGGAAGTTTCATGGAGTAGGGTCACAGGGTTGGATGGGTGGTAGTTTCTGCCTCATGGGGTGAAACAGATGTGAGGGAATGTGATTTGTTTGACCAGAGCCAGGGATTTGTATGGTGCACACACAGTCCAAGGCCCCTAACTGGATGATGTCGGCAGTATGGCGGGGATGCGGCTCCACTGCCAGTGAAGAGGCCCCACTGTGTAGAGGGGACATGGAGGCTGGGGCAGGTCCCTCTATGGGGCATGGTTGTGAATGCTATCAGGTGTGGATGAGGGTTGGTTTGCACAAGTCCTAGAGGCTAAAATCCAAGGGGGTGCCAGGTCAGTAGGGGTGGGGTTAGAGGTCAGAGGGGGGTGGTTCAGAGGGTAGAGGGGTCGGGGGTGGGAAGATTTTGAGGGGTGCGGGGTGAAGACTTACGCAGCGTTGTGGGCCCTCCCCCGCGCGGGGCCGCCGCGGCCCTTACCCTTGTGCAGGACGGCGTTGGC